AAAAAAATCATGTGCATTTTTTTACCACATTTAAGTCTCAAAATACTGCAGTTTCGAATTCATAGCGCAAAACCGCTGCTTTATTTGACAAAAGATTCTCTTGCGCAAAAGACCTTACAAACACAAAAGAGAGCACGAGAAAATGTCGTTATTGCAAAAGACTTGAAAATTTGCATTTTCCTCGAGTTGAGACTAACCCTGTATTCCCATGAGACCTAAGGTATGAGCCTTCTGGGAATACAGGGTTAGCCTCAACTTGGGGAAAATGTAAATTGTAAGCGCTATTGTACAGGCAACATTTTCTCATGCTTTCTTTTGTGTTTGGTAAGGTCTTTGCGTAAGAGAATCTGCTGTCAAATAAAACAGCGGCTATTCGCTTTGAATTCGAAACTGGAGTATTAGCGAAAATCATTCTTTTCTTTCAACTGAGCGTGCGCACTAGATGGTATTGTGTCGACACAGTGTGGAACTCTTTTATCAGCAAATCAGTGCGCGATAATTTGCTCAAGTGTGGTAAAAAACTCATTTGCAGCATGTAACTTATGATGTGCAGATTAAACTCTTTAAAAGTATTTAAGTTTGCTATTTTTGATATTAGGCAACTTTTAAATCAAACCGTGGAACTGTAAGTGGTTATTTCTTAGCTGGGAGATTCATGACATGGCTTCCGGTAAGAACACAATTGATTGTTCGTAGTGTTAGAACCATTTTTAACCAGTTTTTAACCAGTTCTTTTTATCTTTTCAAAAGGTGGGTGCGTCATTATTTGCTAGTAACATAGGCAGTGAACATTTCATTGGACTGGCTGGGTCAGGGGCTGCAGCAGGCATTGGAGTTGGTGCATTTGAGTTTAACGTAAGAAATAATTCAAAACTTATACACATTGATTGACAGTTACAATATATATATCTAATATTTCTAATGATAAATGTTTGATATTAGAGGTTTCTTTAAAGGCCAGTGTTGTAATTTTATACTAATAGTAATTGCCAAAGAAAGATTGTACTTTTCAAATTTAACTAGTCAGTTGCTGTCTTATTTTTTCAGGCTCTAATTCTTCTTCAACTCCTTGGCTGGGTTTTTATCCCTGTTTACATTGCTGGTGGGGTAGGTACAAAATTACTGCAAACAGATGTTTTGTCATAATATATTTTTATTGTTAAAAGTATGTATACAAGTTGGAATGAAGTGCAAATATAGAGAAATAAAGATAGAAATCCTAATACCTCTTTTGTTATTATTATATTGCAGGTGTGCACTTTACCAGAGTACATTCATAGACGATTTGGTGGGCAGCGTATTCGAATATGGCTTTCWGTGTTGTCAATCTTGCTTTACATATTTACCAAGATATCTGTGAGTAGCCCTTAGGTTATCAAGCTYAAAACTCTCCTAASCCTTGTGCTGAACTTTTACTGAAATTGAGTTCTGTATCAAATCTTTTTTTGTAGATTAGAACTATTTTGCACAGCTACATGAATTGTCTCAAACTTTGTTGTATACTTTCATCAGATGTGTTGTTTTAACTAAGAAACATTTTTGTTACATAAAAGCAGCTTCCTGTGTTATTACTTTGTGAATGAATTTCAGGTGAATCTGTTTTCTGGTGCTCTATTCATTCGCCTTGCATTGGGGTGGAATCTCTACCTTGCTATTCTACTGATGTTATTCATGACTTTTCTTTGTACAGTCACTGGTATGTATGATGTTGCTGTTATTGTTATTGCTCATCCTTGACGGATGTTAAATCCCATCATTGTACACCAAGAATGTTACTTATTTGGTTTATGTTCTGTCACCAAACAACAGCAATTTGTCTTCTCATAGGTGGCCTCGCTGCTGTCATCTATACKGACACTTTATGCACATTTCTTATGGCAGTTGGCTCATTAACAGTGATGGGAATGGGTAAGTCAACTGATGAGCATCTAAATTCTCCTTTGAAAATCAACTATTTTCAAATAAGATTTAATATTTTGATCATTTGATTGTGCACCAGGTTTTTATGAAGTTGGTGGTTATGGTGGATTGCAGGAGAAGTACATGCATGCGGTGTCAAATGACACACTGTTCTCTAACAGTACATGTGGAAGACCACGTGATGATTCTTTTATCATGTTGAGAGACCCAGTTAACTCTGAYATGCCATGGGCAGGATTTATTTTTGGCCAGACTATTGCCTCGATTTGGTACTGGTGTGCTGACCAGGTAGAAAATACTATGAAAATACTGAGTGGGAGAGATGTGTGGGACAATACTTGGCTTAAGGTCATGCTGTATGTAATATATACAATATGAGCGGGCGATCTGTATGAGGATTTAAAACAGCGAGCTGAAAGCGAGCTGTTTTAAACCTCATACAGATCGCCCACTCATATTGTATATTACTTATGAAACGTTGAGGTAAACTAGCTCAGGTTTTAAAGAAACTTTTGAAAAAAAATTCAATCTGATTGAGAAAATCAGAGTAAAAGTTTATGCAAATGAACAAGAAATCTGTATGCAATATACAACTCTCTTCATGGGCTATGATTTCTATTGTGTTTTGCCTTATGAATATTAATGAGTTTTATAAATCCTTATAAATGACTGGGAACCGTATATTTTCCCATATGGTATAAGCAAACACAGTCATTTATTTTTTTCTAAATTTTTTCTTAAGAGAGCTTGCAATAATTAAAAAATATTTATGGGTCAATTTAGGAAGATTTTTCTGGAACTTACTGAAACTGAGTCATGCCATCAATTCCTAAAAGCGTTTATGCAACCCAAATTATTCCATACGAACCCTACAACAATGCACTGCTATTGAAATAATGAGTCTCACAAATGCTGTAATAGGTGATAGTCCAACGTGCACTTGCTGCCAAAAGTTTGTCGCATGCCCAAGGAGCATGCCTCTTAGCTGGGTACATCAAAATTCTCCCCCTGTTTACTCTTGTGATGCCAGGAATGATAAGCCGTGTCTTGTCACCAGGTAATACACAAGTTGTTCAGGTAATACTGAGGTAGTCCAGGCACTTCTAAGCATAGTAGTTAGTGTACATGTTCTAAGGCATATATGGTATTTACTCAAAGCAATCTCTTAGGCACTTTAAAGATTTGGTTAATCTGCACGTCTTATACCACC